CTCTCCCTTTGCCAGCCTGAAAGCTTTCTCAGTTCTAAGACCTCTTGCTCTGCTGAGGACAGGGTGATCTGAAGCGTCTCAGCAGGTGATCTCCCTCATCTTCGGGTGGTCACCTGGGTCACAGCAGTTCCTAACGTAGCCTTGACTGTTTTAACAACACCTTGGCATCTGCCAGCTGCCCCCAAGGACAGATGTAAATCTACCACCACTCCCCGAAGCTCGCACAGGCGTCCCATTGTCCGGTACAACCTATTACATCTCAGGACACCAAAGGCAGCGTGCACAGCGCTGATCCTTTTCTCCTGACACTTCCCCGACTCTGACCTCCTGCACCTGTCTCAAGGAACCTCAGCAGCAACTACCAAGCCATCAACCGAGAAGTCTCCTAGATGCTTCCACTGACACCTCCTGTTTAATTACTAAGTCACATCAATCCTACCAAACACATCTAGAGTTCACCTCCTGATCAGTGTGAACCGACCTTTCAATCTTTGCCTTTCAGTTTGCAATTGTATTCACCCTGTTTTTTCTGTCTATTCAACAAATATCAAGCCTCTGTTATATACCACGTGAAATGCTAGATGCTCAGTTTCTGTGGACTAAGTAACAAAAATGTACAACCTCTATCCTCAAGGAGCTAATAGGTTAGTAGAGAAAGGCTAGTAAAAAGAAAAAAAAAAAAATCACAAGTCAGAGATGGAACAAAACAGAAATTAACATGTATGTCTACGTTAGAGTCATGGAGTATCTTCTGAGGGGTAGGTATGACTGCATATGCTTCTAATCCTAGGATTTGTGAAGCCGAGGCAAGAGGATTACTTCAAATCTGAGGCCAGGCTGGCCTACACAGAGTTCAAGGCCAGGCCAGGCCAGGCCAGCTAGTGAGACTCTGTGGAAAGAATGATATCCCCAACTCTTTCATTTTTACTTCAGGGCAAGACTCACTAAGTGGCCCAGGTTGGGCTTGAACTTCTGATCCTTCTGCCTCAGCCTCCATGGAACCACAGTCCTGTACAAGGGTCTCACGGCACTTGAGCTGGACACCCCAAGTTTCTCGTCTCATCACCTGTCTCCCTCTTCGCTGTGCACCCTCAGCCTCAGTCTCAGGCTCACCAAGCTACATCTGATGGCCTGGACACAGCCACACTCCTGCTGTCCCCCCTCTGGCCCAGCACACTGTCACACCCCAGCTGCCACTACTGAGCCCCTGTGGTACTCCTGGCATCTCATCCGCACCATCTCAGTCCTCTCACCACCGCTGTAGTGTCAATGACATCCCCATTTCCAAACAGGGAAATCAAGACCAGAGCAGGTAAAGATAACTAACTCCATTCTACAGAGCCAGAAAGCGAAAGAGCCAACATTCAAATGCAAGCCTGTCCAGCCCCGAATCATAGCTCGATCAACTCTCCCCTCTGCTCCGCCTGAGAAACTCAGATCCACTGCCACTTCCTTGACATTGCCTTTCCTGCCTGCCCAGTCAAGCCATTTTTTTGTGCCTCCCTGGTGGCTGGCACTTCTCCTGTGACCCTTATTATCTGTACTGCTGTGATTTGTTTACTTGTCCTTCTCCCCCAAGAAGCTGTGAGCACCTGCTCACAGCGATTATGTGCCATCCATCTCTAAATCTTCCATACCTAACTTGCTACTGGCGTGAAAGTGACATTTAATAAGCATTTGTTGAATGATGGATTAATAAATGCTTCCCAACTTCTTATCTCAAGCTAGTGATAAAAAAAAAAAAAAAAAAAAATTCCGAGGACACAGTTTGTCATCTATGTATCATAACAGTCAGGTCAGGACATCAGATAGTCCAAGTCAGGAAGTGTAACTTTAGAGGACAAAAAGGGAAAGAAAAAAAAAAAAAAAAAAAAAAAAAAAACAGAATAACACCACAGTACTCCAGAAAGAAAAGCCTCAAAATTCAGATTCCTGGAACACTGAAGTCACATCCAAGAAGGCTGAAGAGAATCTAATAGGAAATATCCTCCTCGAGACTGGCCGTACCTCTATCAGAAGCTATTTCATTCTGAGGTGACTTATGCTGATATATTGAGACCAAAGGACATTTTAGGAGCAATAGCTCAGAAACAGATGAGGAAATGTTCAGGTCAGTGAAAGGCATTTACATATGTTTAGACATTTAAAAAGTGATAACCAGATGAGATAAATGCCTTACTAGCGAGTCTTGCAAGAATTTTAACTTAGCCAATCAGCTGCCTAACATGTTCTCAGGGTTTCATAAAGTCAGCCACAACATATAGGCTGTTTATTTAGTGCTGAGAGTTGAACTGAGGTCTCTGGACCAAGCTACATTCCCAGCTCTTTTTATTTTTATCTTGAGACAAAGTCTCACAACATCACCAGGTTGCTGAGGCCGAGCTCCAACTTCCGATCCTGCCTCAGCCTCCCAGAGTGCAGGGATTACAGGGCTATGTCATCAAACCTGGCCAATTTATTTATGAACCTAGGAGTCCACCATCACTAGGCTACATCCTCATCCCTGTTTATTTTCAAATGGGTTCTCACTGGGTTGCCTAGGCAGGCCTCACACTTACAGTTCTCCTGCCTCTGCCGCCTGAGCAGCTGAGATTACAGATGTGCACCACCTAGCACACCTAGCCAACAGCGAGTTGGTCATTATACCTCGGCTTCAGGGTTCGTACCTGGGCTATGCAGACAGATCCTTCATGGAATCTAAGTTTTTCAACTTTGGGCTTGAGTTTTCTGGGGAGTGGATGAAAGCCACAAATACTCTACCCAGAAAAACGCAGAAATATACTGCATACAACTCTGCCCACAAATGGAGGCGGCTTGTAGATGCTGCTGAGGCTCAGCCAGCGGCCCTGACAGTTCACAGACCCGGATGGAAGTGCCTGAACTCCGTGCCCTGCCAAGGGCTTGGATTAAAGAAGAAGACTGAAGAAGGGCCAGGGCTGAGTGGCATTGGTCTCCGTAACCAAGTCTATCCTATGGTCAAGGTCTTAAAGGACAATGCTAATGCAAAATGATGCAGCCCAGCCTGACTCCAGACCCCGTGGGAACGTCTTCGATGGGGACTAGGGTGCAGGATGTCTCTCTCTACGTCCACATGCAAGTGCAAGGCAGGCACAGAAATGCTTCTCCAGAATAACACAGAAGAGGCCGACACCCCCAAACCACACTGGGCCCTGTACTCACCACGGCCACTCCCAAGGGCCAGCAGGAGAGCACACCACTTACTACATCAAGTTAGCTCACAGCAGTGTGCGGGGCCCCTGCCTCGCAGGCATCTCAGGCACTAGCACCTCAACCAGACAGCAAACTGTGGGCAGCAAATCATGCTAGATCCAAACACAGTCGTAGATGCCTGCCCCTGCGGCTGCCAAGCACACTGCCAAGGGAACAAAGCACCTTGCCCCTGCCTCGTGCCTAGTGAGAGAAGGGGAGACAGAGAGAAGGGGAGACAGCAGAGAGGAAAAGTCCACAGAGACGTGTTCTTGCTTAATTTGTTCTCCCTGGCTTTTTACTTCAAGTATGTGGCACATCTAAGCTGGATGACACAACAGATGCACGTAGTTTCCGCCTTTGTGAAGACAAGGAGCTGAACCTGCAAAGAGGTTGAGTAACTCGCATCCAATCACACAGCACGTGGGGGAGGGAGGGGACACCGTGAAGCCAGCGCTGCCATTCCCAGACACATGTCCAATTCACGAGAGCACACTGCTGCCTGCAGCACCCTGGCTGCAGGGCTTCCTGCCTTACTCTCTTTCACACACAACACAGGGTAGGTATCCAACCTGCTCCAGAAGTCTGAGCCTCTTCGACTCTTCCATCTCTGAGAGACAGGGGACCCTGCCATCTGGCCAGAAAGCAAGATGTCCTGCAAGGACTATAGGTGTCTCCCTACTCACAGCAGCTGGGCAGGGGCTGTGCACACTCAGCCCACTTAACTGCCCCATCCACTCCTAGGGGCTCAGGCTCCTTGTGCGGAAATATACACAGAAAAACAAATTTCCAGTGGCAAGCAGGATGCCAGAGATAGAGCACAGCCGCCTCGGGATCGCCCTCTAGTGCCCACAGGTGCACCAGCCACCATTTCCACCGCAGCCAGACCCGCCCTGCCACTGGGGCATCCGGGAGCTGTGGGAGGGGACGCGGCAGCACCTGCCACTCAGACACCAAGTCCTCACCAATCCCCAGGCCAACATCTGCTGCAGGATGAGGGGCAGGCTCTGCTCCTCCAACTGTCCATCCCACGGCGACCCCACCCACCCCTTACACAACAGAAGGTGAAAGGAAGTGCAGAGTTGACACAAATGGATCGGGGAAGTGCAGTGGTGCAGAGAAGACAGAGGAGGACAAAGGCAGGAGTGGGGTGACCAAAAAGAGACAAGAAGAAGATAAACAAAAATGAGAAAGAGCTAAAGAAACAGACACAGCAGTGAGTGGAGACCTAAGCTTCGGGCCCGTCCACCTCCTGGCTCCCCGCCTCCCGCTCAGGCATCTAGGCACACGGAGGGGCCTGCGTCTCCACCCCTCTCCTGAGAGCTTCGCCTCACGTCATTTCCCTCCACTCTGACACAGCCCCTGGGTGTCCGGGACTTGTGGGCTGAGGGCAAAGAGGGGAAAGAAAAGTGAACCAAAGGCAGAACTTGCCAAGCGAAGCCACTTACGCACAGTGCGGCCGGCAGCATTTCCATCCTACCTTTGCTGTCGCCATGTCAGCCGGCTCCATGATCCCTGCTTGGCCTAGGGAGCAGCGGCACCATCCAGAAAGAAAAGCAGAGTCACAAACGTCTACCCAGGAAGGACAGACCACCCTTCTGGAAGGCCAGGGGAAAACAGAACTGTCTTTCTCTAGAAGCCCCAGGACAGCCTCAGTTGTGGGCAGAGTGAAGAGCCGTTGAGATCCCAGCAACTCAGAAGGCCATGTTCCTACAGATGCCCAGGAGGCCGAGTCAGGTGCCTCTTCCCTAGCCTGGTATTTCTCTCCTAGGAGGCTGCATGGGTCACACCAGGCTCCCCCTGCTGGGGGCGAGGCCGCAGAAGTGGAGGCCCTGCCCTCCCGGCACTGATCAATGCCAGCTGGTACCCACAGGTCAGGATGAGGGGTGCAGGTGGGTGGGGGCTGGCGGGTGCTGTGCAGGTGCTGGGGTGGCAGGGAGGGAGAGGGCTCGCGCTGGTGGGACAGCTGTGACAACCTTGAGAAGGTGCAGGCACTCAGATGGAAGCAGAGGGTGCTGTGCAAGGACGCGCCGGAGCCACAAAGCCGGCCATGGCAAGGTGGGTGCAGAGGGAGAGGAATTCGCCCGGCGAAGCCACTCACCTTGCAATAACATTCAGACTGACTGAGGCCTACAGGAGCCAGGAGCGGGCGGTTCACACCCCCCACCCCCACTCCACTCCCAGAGACTCACAGCCTCTGCCTAAAGGTACATGAGAGCAGCCGGCAGCCCGGCTGGATCTGCAGAGGCCTCTGGCTCTGTTGGAGCAGCCTGATTGGAGGAGCAGGATGACTTCATCCAGCCCATTCACCACTCTAGGTTTCCTGCCCAGCAGGGCCAGGCCGGGCAGCTTGCAAGGCTGCAGCTTCCTCTTCTTGGCTGCTTTGCTCAGCAGCCTGGGATAGGCTTGGGCAGCTGGGGAAGGGGATCAGTCAACACAGCACCAGCCTCCAGGAAAGAGGGGAATGGGCGGGCTGGCTGGCTTGCTTGCAGTGCTGAGAAAGCTCAAGGCTTCTGATGAAAATGCTGCGTGCATTCGCCACGAGCACTTGCCAGTGCTGCAGCCAGCGCGGGTGCACAAACACGCCTAGAAACTAGCACGGAGGTGAGCGGGGAGCTCTGACTCTCCTGCAAAAGACAGGTGTGCTGCTTCTCCCACCAGAGAAAACCACCTGTGGCTAAACAGACCCTGTCCTCAGGCAGCCCTGAGGTGCTCCCCCATGTCAGTTTCCAGGGTCAGCTGGTTTTGTGGACATCAGTTCCCCCCGGCCCATGGAAAATACAGCATCAGCTCCATTTCACACATGAGCAGAGTGAGGCCCAGAAGAGAAGCCAGCCAAGGGTCGACGCAAGGACGTCAGCATCCGGGAGCTTACTTCTGCTTTGACTTTTGCCACAGACACGGTGAGATTCTGAAGAGTACTGACCTATTTCCCCTCCTCGTTCTTCCCCACCCCCTCTCCACATCCAGGACCTAGACCACACAGAAGCCCCAGCAAGGCAAGGGCTAAGGAGATTAAGGTCGATGAGAGTGAGAGACAAGCCACTGATGGTGAGATTCTTTTCCATTCCCACCTCATTTCCCCTCATTCTTCCCTAGCACCATCCTCCTGTTCCAGCTCAGCTCCACAACCCAGCCACAGCCCAGGCAGACCAAGCTAGACCTGGAAAGGGTCGTCCCCCAAGTGAGGATGCCGACCAACAACACTCCCAGTTTACACAGCACTCCTGGGTCTGGCTGGACCACAAGAGAAACAGTAGGAACAGTGCTCCACTTTCACAGGGCTCAAAGAGCCACAGTGCATTTCCTTGGGGACCCTGGAGGGCCACACCACTTCCTCCATTTGAAAGGTAACAGGCCAAGACGCAGAGACTTGAAATGACTGGCCTAAGGTCACACAGTGAGCAGAAAACAACCGGCACTCACTTCCATTAGAGTTCAAGCCTCTCGCCACTAAGCCTCCTAATCCCAAGCTTCCTCCACTGCATCTTTCTTTTTATTTTATTTTCTTTTTATTTTTTCTTTATTTTTTTGGCAGAACCGGGGATTGAACTCAGGCCCTTGTGCTTGCCAGGGAAGCACTTATTACACTGAGCCATCGCCCAGCCCCTTCACTGTATCTTTCTCAGTCTGCTCCCAACTCCTACTTGCCATTATTGTAGACTTAGAATATAAAACATCACTTATTTTTATATTTTCCTTTGATTCTCTCTCTATCTCCCTCCCTCCCTCTCTGAAGATGGCAGATTATAAGAAATGCATTATTAAATAGTAGAAAACAAATCTTGGGCTCCAGACAAAGAGAAAGTGTGGGATGCTCTTGTAATAAGAATTTCAAGTTTTTTTGGAAATTCGTAAATAATACAGTGAATAGAGAACTGAAGTGTGCCCTGAAGTTTGAGGTTCAGTCGGAATTAAAGCTGACAGGGAAGTAAGGGTCAACCCACAAAAGCACTTGAAGCTTGTCTTTCAGGCATGATGAGAAAAGATCTGGTTCAGCGTTTAGGAATAAATTTATACAAGCAGAAACTGTAGAGATGGAAAGAATAAATGTAGGGATCACCATGTTGATCAAGGTTCAAAGAAAATCTGGGTCCACATAATTTTCAAATGACTTGGGACTGCAAGGTAAAGAACATAATAGTGGGCTGGGGAGATGGCTCAGTAGATAAGCACTTCCCTGGCAAGAGCAAGGGCCTGAGTTCAATCCCCAGTTCTTAAAAAAAAAAAAAAAAAAAAAAAATAGTAGTGAAGTTTCCTAAATGAACTGCCTACTCTAAGGTAAATTTCTTTCTGTCTCTGAGCCACCACTTGGTCATTTATAAGTTGGATAAATTGTGTATGTATGTATATATATATATATATATATATATATATATATATATGATTTTGTTTAATAGTTATATAATTTTATATATAAATATATATCATAAATTATCTATATACCCTTTATGTATATAGTATACTCCTCCTTGCAAATAAACAAATATAAACAAATGAAAAAAAAAAAAAAAAAAAGAAAAGAAATCTTGGGAATGTCCAAAAATTAGTATGTACACGTAAAGGGACCTCCCACATACAGTGAAAATTGACTTTAAATAAAAGGAACCAATGATTGCTTTGAGCCATTCTCATGACGGAGCTCAGGCTGTCCCTGACTTCACTGTGTAGCCCAGCTGATCCTCCTGCCTCAGCCTCCCAAGTGCTGGGATTACAGATGTGCCATAGCACACCCAGCTGGAACCATTTATTTATTTATAGTCATCCTGGCAAAAAAAAAAAAAAGAACAAAATGTTTCACTGAATTTTAATTTAACAATCCAGATTAAAATTAACCAGGAGTTAGCAATGTATATTCTGGTCACTGGAACGCATACTTTCTCAGCCATTATAAATAGATCACTTCTCCTTCTCCCATTTTATCTTATTCAAATAAAGAAGAATAAGAGTATGGGCCCAGCTTCCCTTATCAGAAATGCTTGGAGGGCCAGGAAGATGGCTCAGTGGAATAAGCGCTTCCCTGGCAAGTGGAAGGGCCTGAGTTCAATCCCCAGTTCTAGAAGAAAAAAAAAAAAAGAAAAAAAGAAATGCTTGGGACCTGAAATATTTCAGATTTCAAAATGTTTCACCTGGGGTACATTTGCATACACTTCACCATCAGAACTTCCCTAATCCAAACATCTTAAATCCAATATGCTCCAAAATCCCAGACACTCCAAAGTTTCACATTCCGGAGCACTTTAGATTTTAGAATTCTAGATTAGAGGTGCACAAGTAGAAAAAGACAGACCATTGGATGATTTTTCTATACTCACTACCTACTTTTTGTAAGTCCCATACTGCAATCACGAATACAACCAACTTGAAAAGGCTAAGTAGGAAACTTTGCTGGCTCTGCCGCAGAGGCAATCCATGGGACCTCCTCAAAAATCCGAGAGTCCTCCTCAAAAATCCAATAGTGAGGGGCCAGGGAGATGGCTCAGTGGAATAAGTGCTTCCCTGGCAAGCGCAAGGGCCTGAGTTCAAGCCCCAGTTCTGCAAAAAAAAAAAAAAAATCCACTAGTGTGGAGCTGTATGTTCCCTGCAGGCCATCTGCTCTATTCAGAAGCCTGCACTGTTTTTCCTGGCTATCGTCATGGCCTGCAGTCCTCTCTGCTCCTGGACTGATGGACAAATGTACAGATGGCCAGCAAAAGGCCAGTACCAAGGAAGAGCATGTCCTCTTTCATCAGAACCTCACAGAATCAGACTCATGTTGGGGGGGGGGGATCCATCTCCTCTATGACCAAAAACACTTAGCTTCTCAGTTCTGAAAGAGCTGCCACCCAGCCCTGGCAGAGTGGCCCAGCACAGCTCCCTGTGTAACAGAAACTGGAAGACGAGGCCTGGAGGAGGGTGACAGGCATCAGTGAGAAGGAAAAAATCTCTGACAGCTCAGAGCCCAAAGAGAGTTCCAGGAACACAGATTTTCAAAAATCAACGCACAGTGTCTAATTAATAGGCCACCAAGGATCGGGAAGTGTTGATACACACCTATAATCCCAGCACCAGAGAGCCTGAGGCATGAAGATCGAGAGTTCAGGGTCAGCTGGGGCTGACTAGACCTGTCTCAAAAACAAAACAAAATAAAACCAATAAAAGCCCTTGCCAGGCGTGGTGGTGCATGCCTGTAATCCCACCACTCAAGAAGCCCAGGCAGGAGGATCTCTGCAAGTTCAAGGCCAGCCTGGGCTACAAAGTGAGCTCAAAACCAGCCTGAACTGCATAGTGAAACACTGTCTCAAAAAGACAAAAACTAAAAAGAAAAAAGCCCTTGAATCCACTTCTCCAGCATTGACCAGAAAAGATTTAATCTAAATAATTCCTCCTTTAAAGAACTCCTCTATCCTATGCATTTGCTTTTTACTTTTTCAACTAGATACTTGAAACTCCTTCTCTAATTACAACTCGTTTCATTTTGCCTAATATTTAGTTTGAAAAGAGAAATAACATCTCTGGTTATAATGTTCTCTCTTCAGGGCATTATTCCTACTAACTACCTGAGGTATTACTTTCTAGCTCCTCAGTCACTGCATTTATGAGTAAGTTAAGGAAGGTGGGTGGGATAGAAGCTTTTGTAAAAAAGCTAGAATGAGGTGATATGCAAGTACAGCTCAGCCTGGACAGGACACCAGGGGCTTTAGGAAGACCCTCCTCCCGCAGCCAGCTCTTGGGAGGTGGTGCCCGTGGTTGATTCATGCTTGGTCAGAGACACTGCCCCACGCAGCATTCTGGGAGATGTAGTTCAGAGCAGCAGGCGGCCATGTTTGCTCGGCTTGCTCTCTGCCAGTCTTGAGACTACAAAACTAAACTAGACATCTTTGCCCAAAGAACATGGAATCTCTTCTCTCTGCTGTATGCAGAGTTCTGACGGTCAACTGAAAAGTTGGCATTAAAGCTCTTTCCCATCTTGCAAGATGGCGGGTGAAAAAACTGAGAAGCCAGACACTAAAGAGAAGAAACCTGAAGCCCAGAAGGCTTCTGCCAGTGGCACTGGTAAAAAGGGTAAGGTGAAGAAGGCAAAAAAGTCCAAGAAGGGGCAGCCCCACTGCAGCCGAAATCCTGTCCTAG